ATTATTATCATTATTATTATAATTATATATGATCAGATTAGGTTGGATCAGTCGAACACATAATTCATTATCCAATTCGTATAATATTAAATTTTGATCGCATTAAATTAAATTTATTCTAAATACTTAAAAAAATTGATCTGAACTCATCGGATTGATTTAAATAAATTCGAATTCACAAATTATCCGGCCACTTGTACCCAAACAAAAACTACTCCATAAAGCCTCCTTATTCCTAAGGCTTTTGAGAGCGCAAAGGGAAGGTATTGGACATGATATGCTTATTCAGAAACACGTGCAGTGCCGTGAAAAAAGTTGAAATTCGAGTAACTTGTTTTGCTTATATACCCTACCAAATCCGTCACTCTTTTTCTTATATATTTTTAGTTTGTTTTTTGGTGTTTTTTTTACAATTTTATTTTTGGCATTTTGCTTCATTTTGAATTTCTTTTATGGTTTTTCTGCCTTTTCTCTTTTGCTTTCTCGGGACGAGAAATCCCCATTTCAAGAAAATTTGTGTGCAAAACAAATTGGCAACTTTTTTTATTGTATGTGTGCTCTACACTCCAAACTTGGGATTTGTATTTGTTCTCAAATACATAAACAACTCCAAACCTAAGTTTGAAAATAGATAAAGAACCACGTACTTAAATTTGAAATTCATGTCTAAAAATATTATCAAAAAAGTTTCAATTAATTAAAAACAAATTCATTTCACACTTAATCACGTAAAATATGATTTTATTAATTTCAAAAATTAGGTTATTTAAGCTCAAAAACATTAGCAATCAGAAACGTAAAAACATTAACAACCATTGTAGCAAAACTTTGTTAATTTTTTTTCTAATAACTGTTACGTGTTCAACTTAGATTGATATATGTGATGATAAATGTGAAAGGAATTGATCTAATTTTTGTGCAAAGAAGAAAAGTGGACTAGGCAGCATTTATTCTTTCTTGATATGGGAATATGTGAGGGAAAACCAAAAGGTAGTTGACTCCCCACTAAACTTGTACAGTTAACTGAGTTAATTAAGGATTTTAAAATTATTTTCACATCCATAGTAATCGGATAATAAAAGGATTTATATTAACTTATGTACTTTATTCAACTAATCTAGTTACACCTTCTTAATAGATTTTCACAATATCATGAATACTGTTGATTGAAAGAAATTTTTACATTCATATAAATCATTAATCCTCTACTTGATAGACGATAACTAAAGAAAAGGAACATTATTAAAAAGTATGGAATTATATCGTACAATTTCTATTTGGCAGGATGATTTAGAAGGATCTATGTAGAAATTTGATACGGCTCATGAAAAAAAAATAAAATTCTATGCAATGATAAGAATATTTATGTAAAATTTATTGTTTAAAACATTATACTAGTTCATCAATATATTATATATTTTAATCATATTTGATTATGTTTATACATAATTAAATATGGTTATATACATATAACACATTATAGTCAACTATTTTATATATATATATATATATATATATATATATATATTTTTTTTTTTTTCATAATCATAATATTAATATAACATATAGTAATAATTAATCTCTATCTGAAATTATAAGTATATATAAGATAAATATATTTTTTCAACATAATCATAATATTAATATAACATATAGTAATAATTATTCTCTATCTGGAATTATAAGTATATATAAGATAAATATATTTTTTCAACATAATTTATTTTATACTCGAATTTAAATTCTAAGATATATTATTTTAAATTATATATCCAAAAATGAATATTAATATATATATATATATATAT